ACCCTGCGTGATGTATTGGCCCTCTCGGCCCTCCATTATCCATCCAGCGGGGTATTTCTGGCACCGAAGCTGTCCGTGAGGTTTCCCCAATAATCCTCAACTCTCTCTCACACATCTGCACGTACACCTTTTCTGTCCTCAGCACACTTTCATCACTTAAATCCCCTACCTCTCCATCTCTCCATACTCCAAATGAGGAGAGCAGAGATGTGGAAGATAAGCTGTGAGGATCAGCTCAGTTTGAGAGGGTCACTGAGATCAGTGGCCATTACGCATTTTGTACACATTGGCTTAGATGATGGTGGCCAGCAGTGGCCGGAAATGACAGTTTATCTTTTTTTTAGTAGATAATTCACTCAAAAGACATGTCCTTTAGCAGGTTTTGACTGAGCTGTTTCTGAATACTTTTCCAATGCGCTCGTAAGAATCAGATTCATCCTCTTGGGGAAGGGGACTGAAGCACAGCCTACATTACAAAATGTTCATGCAATTACGCCGGAGAGGTCTCCAAATTCCTAAAACTTAAACAAAAGCTTGACCATTCCATGTTTTGTGATATGCAGTGTCTTCATTACAAAATGGTGGTATTAAGGTGGGAATCATTAAATAGTATCGATCTTTCTTGTATCTATAAAGCTCACTCCCAACTATGTATATAACATGAAAAAAAAAAGAAAATTGTTGAAGGTGGTCTATAATGTGTTTTGGAACTTCTTTATAGTCCTGCCATTTTTAACAGCGGAAAGTCCATTCATTTCAATGGAATTCACCACAGTTTTGCATGTGAAACTTAACATCAGGTTCTACTTTGGTGAACTTTGTCATGCAAATTCACATCCTCGATCAACACCGTTGCTGCTTTGGCTGTGTTGATCTTTAAAGGGGCTGCCCATCATACAGCAATACTGAAAATCTAAAATGGAGGAAATGCTAAATTTTCAGAGTCAAAGTATGATCCACAACAAATAAGCTCATGCAAGAAAGACTATATGACATGCAGTCAGTTGGGAGGGTAATGTTATCTTTATTTTTATTATTTTACTGTTTATGGTGGGCAGGTTAGCCAGCTTGCTAACTGCTATGTTAGCCCCTTGGCTAAGTCAGCAACCATGATAGTTACATGCACTTTGTTTTTGCAGCACTATGCCCTCATCAGTAAATTATTGTCTGGTAAAAATATGTACTTCATCATTGTGTTATAGTGATCATTGCAGCCCTAGTTGTAGTGTATTTTGTGTAATTTTTTGTTACTGTTTATGGTTGGCAAGTTAGCCAGCTAACTGCATCAGAATGTCTAGCCTTACTCATGCCTACTTCACAAGGTGTCATCATCTCAGTTCAGCTGTATGATATCTACTCTGGAGTAGATGCACATGAGCCTAATGTCACCATGCCCCATGCTAAGCATATGCCAAGGGTATAAAGCCAATCAGCATTGGGCTGTGGAGCACTGGGCACAGCATTGGGCTGTGGAGCACTGGGCATAGCATTGGGCTGTTGAGCAGTGAACTGCATTCTCTGGAGTGATGGAGCACTATTGACAGGGCTGCTTATTGCTGTTAGCATTATAAGCAGTTGCTTACAGATGCTGGGTCACAAGGGGCCCTTGCAACTCTGCAGTTATTTTAATTATTATTATTTTTTTAATACTGTTTATGCTTAAGTAGAATGCCACTCTGGATCCCCAAATGTTTAGAACCATCCCTGACCATCTAATACGTTTGGAATGAGTTAGCATATTGTTTCTGATCCAGAACTCATGAATATCCGTACCTGACCTCAAAAATGCTCCTCAGCCTGAATGCAATCAAAACCTCACAGCAATGTTCCAACATCTAGTGTAAATCCTTCCTAGAAGAGAAGATGCTGTTACTGCAGTAAATAGGGACAAACTCCTTATTAAAGGGCCCATATGGATATGCATTGTATCATTTCCCTTGAGACCCACTCATTATATTTGTGAGGTTTTATATACCAAAACAGTCATAATTCATTTTTACATCACCATTTTCCACTCTCTTTTTATCCCTTACACTTAAAGAGGCTGGTATTTTATTGTGCCTTCAAGACTGCAGTACATAAATGACTCCAGTTCTGATTAGTTGTACTCCATTGTGCTTGATTTGTAATGCAGGCTGAGCTGAAACACTCCTTATAACTTCAGTGTGAATGGGCAGAGCTAAACTGTTGTAGACTGAATAGGTGGATATATGGACTGTGGAGTAAATGGTGCATCTTGAAACACTGACTATGTTTACATAAAACAACACAAACTTCATGAGCAGGTGTCTACAAACTCGCCTACAAATAATGTGTGTCAAAAACAGCAGAAACTCAATGTCCACAAGTATAATGCAGATGCTTTTGGTGGGTGAAATGGCAAGGGGGAGGGTGGAGGCCTGAGCAGGGGCACAGCATCACAGCATTTTTCTAATCCTGCTCTGCTCTCTGCCAGCGCCAGCCGACAGCAGCACAGCCGCCTCTCAGGCAATTACCCTGTCAGCTGCCTCAGAGCGAATGCATATCCACACCACACAGCGCCATATCCATCATCAGGCACAACACATGAAATCATCCTTTGTGTTGTTGTTGTTCTGAGCCAGTGGCTCTGCGCTTTTGCCCTGAACAGTCTGTTCTGAGCTGAACGTGTGTGTATATCTGTATCTATGCATAATGTATATGTCAGTTTGTGTATACAAAGCCAAATTCTCTGAGCAACATAGAGTACAGAGGGCTCGGGCTGGACTTCTCCCCAGCCTAATGAGTGCAGACATGAACAGTGTTACAGAAAGAAACAGTTGGTGATATTAATGAAGGGGATCATTAATGGGAGTGGGTATAGTCTTTTTAAACGAGCATTTCCCATACAGTCTGCTCTGCATCGATAATGAATAGACGATGGGAGCAGCAACGATCACGTACAGCCAGAGAAACCAGAGAGCTAAAAATATAAAGCGGAAAGAGTAGGTTTGGGGAGGGAGAGCGAGAGGGATGGAGGGAGACCGAGAGAAAGGAAGGAGGGAGGGCAGACTCATGATTAATTGAAACTGAGGAATGGAGATAATGTCGCCGGTAGGCTGTACCTTTTGCAGTAATTTAAGCACAGTGAAGCACTTGGGCTTCAGACGCTCCATAATTACCAACTCCTCACGCTCATTTCTCCTCAGAGCGGTCTGAGTGCCTTTCTACTGCTTTAGAGTAACGGGAGGGAGAAGGAGAGAGAGAGAGACAGAGAGCATTTCTAAAGTAAAGAGAAGGAAAAAGCAATTGAGTGAAGCTAGAATGGACAGAAACTTTGATTAAAAGCAGTTTAAAAGGTTGAGCATTGTGGTGCCAGTGGGATCTAAAGGCTGAGTGAGAGACGGACAGGCTGTGAGTGGTCAGCCTGTTCTAGCTCAGCTCTGTCTATTGTGTGCCTCCACTCTCTGAACTCTAACTGCCTGCTCAGAGTCATGCTAATGCCTCACGCCCAGCCAAAGCACAACATATTCCTGTTGCAGTTTTGTCCTTTCAGAGCTCCAAACTTTAAAAATAAGCAGTGTTCACCTGTGCTTAGACATCTTGCCTTCTTTAGTCATTTAATTTTTTTTCTTTCTCTTACTGTTTAATAAGAAAAGCTACATACAGTGTTTTGTTCTTCAGATATACAACCACATGAGGTACTGATGCACTTTTGAAGCATTGTTCTGGCCTAAAACCAGGATTTAATATGTTATTTGTCATGTTATGTAGTATTCTTTAATGCAGTATTGTATCCTGCTGCCTCATCAGTTTGACAGAATTTATTATTTTATATCATTTTCATGTTTTCGTTCATCACTGTCCTGTCAATGTACATGCATTACTATAATATTATACACCCATTGGGAATCCCTGTGGTATCAAATAATCTTGACTGCTAGCAACTATTTTATTGGCTAATAAATACAACCAAACTAACATTAGTGTCATTTTTACCTTGTTTGTCAAATAAAATCTTTATTTAGTAAAAGATTTGACACCAGAGACAATTTTAGTCAGAGAAAAGAAGCCAAACTGAGGTAAATGCATCTAGATAGCGAGGTACCTACCTTGCTAACTTGCTAGCAATTTGCTTGTTTTCTTTTTCATATGTGAAGCCTCATTCTCTCCATTGTTATGATGCTTTAAAACCAGTTACTAGGTTTACGCTGCAATAAGACATTGAGTTTTCTAAAAGTAGTGTTAGCTGCCTGGCTTCCTTCTGCATTCACCAGCTAATGAAAAAAATGTTCAAAGCAGTTGTACTTTTTCAAAAGTTCCCCACACCTTCACAAAACATCATCAGAAGAAGATTTTCCTATTCCTTAAACCAGAAATCTCAGTTTAACGACTGCTGTGGCACCGCTGTAGCATGCAAGTAAGCGTGTTTACAACAGCTACAGCAGTTTTTCAAAGGTTCTTTGACATATGGTTCTAATAAAAAACGTTAACTGATACAGAACCTCAACATTTTGCAAAGACTTTTTAAACCTTAATATGTTTACACCTTAAAGCGGTTCTTTAATAAGCTAATCATTAAGGTTCTTTTTAGCATCTTTATTTTAAAACATGTTTGTAGACAGGCGTTTGCATAAGCAGAACAGGTGTTATCCTTAATTCTTAGTCCTCAAGAGAAAGTTTGACATCAGTAAACATTGCCATCTTCAAGTAGTGGGTTCTGGCCCACTGCTAGGAGACACACTTATGATCAATTTGATTGACCCCTTGATTCTTTGATTCTTGATTCTTTATTGCAGACCTTTGCATCACATGCTTTAATCGTAGAGGGGCCGAAACAGCAGATCAATGTCCAAATTACAGTTTAAAATGAAAGAATTTCCATATTCTAATTTCACATATTTATGTGATATTTACATAATGCTACTCATATTTATAGGGTTGTTAGCTTGTGCTTGTTAGAATGAACCCAGAAGAATCAGTGCATGTAAACTAATGGGTTTCTAAACAACACCTGTGGTAATGTCTGTACTCTGTCCCAGCATGCAGCAGCAGTGGGTGTGTGTGGCTGTTCTGGGCCTGTTGGTCGTCACGGTGATGCTAGCAGAAGGCGGGAAGGCGGAAAAGCAAGGTGAGAGAAATGTGACTGACTGTGAGTGTTATTCAGGCCAACTAATCTGTTCTTCTCTCCACTCTGTGTGATACAGGATACTAAGAGTGTTCATCTGAATGGTCTACATAGAGCAGATACACACTGATCAGCCATAACATTAAAACCACCTACTTGTTTCTATACTCATATGTGCTGATGAAATGGACAATTAGTGTAGAAACAAGGAGGTGGTTTTAATGTTATGGCTGATCAGTGTACATACACTGTATAAGAAACTATTATACTTATTATATAACTATATAACTATAACTATAATTATTATACTTATTATATAAAGTATAGTATTGTTAGCTATTTAATACTTTAATTACAGTTTGCAACACTCAGATTCTTGTTCATTAAAATGTTTTTTGTTTACATCTTCTCCAGAGTGACTTACACTCTTAGGCTAAATTCATATTGCAAGTCTTATTGCTTATTTCCATGTTTGACTTTATTCACATCAGTGTGTGAATGAACAAACCTGTGCCCTGTAATTACCTGCATGTGCACACCTGACTCAATATCACTGTGTCATGAACAATGAACTAACTAGCACAACAAGCTATGTTTGTGAAGATAATTTGCTCTGAAGAGCTCTTAGCTGTTCATTATTAGAGGATCAGATACATTGTTTTTGAAGCATTTACTGTTGCTAGCTTAAAGTTAGGTTCTGCTACAATGTTAACACTCAACAATGTTGCAGTGGACACATGAATTCTACTCTAAGAATTAAGGTTCTCCTTAAGGTTGTACGGCTCTGAATCAGATATGTATGTACCAAAAGCACATTATTGTAAATCTTTTGGTTCAAAGGTGTTTTAAAAAGCTAAATATGTTTGTAGGTGTCCCCATAGCTTTTTTTGTGATCAGCATTTTATTGCTTTTTACAACAAGAGAAAGGGGTGGAGGGATGGCAGGGCCAGGTGACACACAGGTCAAAAGCTTAGAAAACAAACAGCGTCAAAATAAATATTACAAAATACAGACAAAAACTACACAGGTTAGAACATTACCATTGAAAAATCAATGTTCTCTTTAAGTTCTTGACTTATATAAATTCTCCCATTTACCAACAGTTGACTGCTTCGTCCTCAAAGTTTTGATAGGCAGTGTACATGTTTACCAGAAGTTTACTAGAAACATACTTTCAGAATAAAGGTTCTCGAACAAGCAGAAGTGTGAAACTGTCTATTTATGTGCCTGTACATTTGTACGGAAAAGTTTGAACGCCCCTGTTCAAGTGACTTTTTTGTTGATTTTCTAAGTGACAACAAGTGAGCACATCCTTTACGGGGAACACAGCTGAACATATTTTTTTCTGCAACTTTGTGTGCACAGTTTGTTTATTTGATTGTAACATATTGGAAAAAAAAGCTAACATTAACTGTGCCGTAACTTTTGCATAGGCAACATTTTATGTTTTGTCCTCCAACATGTTAAAGCAGCACTTTTTAGAATTTGTCTGTTAAAATTGAAAGAAGTACTATTAATGTGTGTAACGGTGGCAGACGAAACCAGACACTCGCAGCAGAGCATTGAGTTAAGATCTTTAATGCCGAAGGAGTTGTCCAGAATCACAGTCGATAAACCAAAGCAGAAAGTCGAAAACCAGAACACCAACACAGAACAAAAGGGAGCAACAAGAATCAAGGTCAAAGATGGAAAACAGGTCATACACAGGTAGGCAGTCAGAGACATTGGAGAAACGCTTGGTACACACATAGGTGATGATACTTCACAAAGTAACTATCCTAAAGCCTGGGCTTATATACTTGACTAAGTGAAAAAGGAAATAGGGAACAGATGTGAGTGGAATCAGAAGTCTGGAGATAAGGAGCACTGATAGGTGGATCGGTGAGACTCCATAGTCATGTGATGCAGCAAGGAGTTCTGGAAACTGGAGTCTTGGGTGGCTCCGTTGGCTGTAGTTCCAGCCAGGCCACAGGGTGGTGTGACAATGTGTCAGGAGGAAAAAACACACAAAAATATGCTGTGTGTGTGCGCTGGTGCAAAGCAAGTTGGATATGTCATACATCTTTGCATATTAATGTCACACACACAGACTCAAGAAAAAGGTCTGGCTTGATGTTTAGATCTCAAATGCAAAATCAACATTACAATGATGAAGATATGATGACAGTGATAGATAATTCATAGACATGTCCTTCACCAAGCTCTGATGGACTTGTCTTGAATACTCTTTTAACACATTCACAATCATCAGATTCTTCTGCTCGGGGGAGCTTTACAAAATGTTCTTCCACACAATTTATGTAAATACACATTTTTAAATCCCCAAAAATCCCCAAAGAGCAGCTTTAAATTTAGCGAATAAACAGTAATTACACATTAAAATGTACAGAAGTGTGTTCTCTGTAGAGGAAGTGTAAACTCATTCTCACTTAGAAAATCAACAAAACTTTTGCATACGATTGCATACATATGTGTGTGTGTGTGGGTGTGTGTGTGTGTGTGTGTGTGGTCTCACAGGTAAGAAGGAGCGTAAGTCAGACTGTGGGGAGTGGCAGTGGAGCGTGTGTGTGGCGAACGAGGGTGACTGTGGCCTGGGCACCAGAGAGGGCACTCGTAGCGGCACTGACTGTAAACAGACCATCAAAACACAGCGTTGCAAAATCCCCTGCAACTGGAAGAAGCAGTTTGGAGGTGAACACACACACAAACATACACGTGTGCACACAAGCGCACACAGTGGTTTATCCCCGTAACAAGATGGAGCAGTTTGCAGGTGAAGCAGGTGATGGTACAGTGTAATAGACCGACCCTTTTGCCTCTTTAGTGGGTTTAGAGCCACATTCTCATTTACATTCTTTTATTTCACACTCGGTTAGCTCTGCTTCACAGCTGCTTCACACACAGAGCTGGAGTGCAGCTCTGAGAGAGATAAAGACACTTCACTATCTTACACTGAGCTCACAGTCCATTTACATGTCTGTTTCCTGAGCATGCAACACCATGCCAGTGATAGACAGTGATGTAGCTGAGGAATACATGAGAGAGAGAGAGAGAGAGAGAGAGAGAGAGAGAGAGAGAGAGAGAGAGAGAGAGAGAGAGAGAATGTTATTTGTATCAATGGGGAAAACATTATATCCTGTGACAGTAATAACTGTGTAGTTACAAATTAACAACATGTAACAACATTGTAACTACTACTGGTGATGTGTTCACTATTACAGATGGATTACAGCAGTACAGTTCATGTACATACACAGGTGTATTAACTTCAGCTTTCACTCTTGTAATTACACAAGTGTATCTTGATAGTTGTAACAGCATATTTTATGTATAAGGTGAGCTGCTGTTTTTCCAACAAGACTTTTCTAGTTGTAACAGGTGTGTAATTACATACTACATCATGAGAGTACTTACACTGTATATGTGCTATTCTTATTTCCCTACATTTAGCTTGCTATAGTAGCTTATGTCATGACATGGTACCCAAAGTTCTGGCTTTAAACCATTCTGCAATGTGATAATATTTTCACAGCAGCAGATGTTCATTTGTCTTTTAAAGGATTCATCTTTATTTAGGTGCTGTGAAATTGGTATTAGTTTATGTATGTATGGTATTAGTTACTTTTGAACTGTAGTTATTCTTGTGATTATATAACATGTTAATGTAATTAGTATCTAAAGGTTTAAAGTATAATATCCATATAATAATTATTAATGTGTTAAAAAGTACATATTAATCAATGGACAATAATTTATTAAGCATTAAGAAAATGTTTATGCATCACAAAATAATATTATAAAGATAATAAACAACTCTTTAATAATTCAAAACAAGATAATTCTGCCCTAATTACTGTGAACTTATTTTAGTAAGTAAATGCTTAATATTGCAAGTTATATAATTCATGAGATATAAATATAAAATAGCTAAATTATGAATAATACATCTGTCTAACTTTTTTTCTGATGCTTAAAGTTGTAGCTGTGTGACTATAACTTGCTTTCTAGCTTTTATATGGGTGCAATAGATCAGACAAATCAGACAACTGACCCCTCACTAAGGGCCACCTGCTTGTTTATCTGTTGTACCAGCACACCATGGCCACTATGGAATTTTTAATGGCTAAGGTAGATATGAGTTAATGTTATAAGAGCACAGATAGAGGCTAAGTCTACAGATGTGCTGTGACTCTTCACATTGATCCCTAACTGATTAAAAAATTTCCCTCTAGAGGTGCCCAGACCTAGTTACAGTTGCTAAGCAGCTATCAGACAGTCTGTATTTAGGGGAGGTGTCTAGTGAAAGGTGTGCTTCAGTTTGAAAGTGCATCTCATTCTTTCAGATATTTTAGAAAGTCCAGTTTTCTCTCACTCAGAGTAAGAAGTAATGACATGCTGCAGAAATCAGTGCAGTGAAAAGCAGAATATTTTACTTTGGAGTGAAAGTCTCACAAAATGGAAATGCAATAATAGAGTACGTATACTTGAATATAGTACTTTGTAACTGTTCACCACTGATTACACCATGCCAGTGACTCAGTGCAGTGGTGTATAAATGACCACTACAAAAATCACACTGTAGTGTGTGTATTATTAGTTTTGTAGCTGTGGGAGTGGAGGGAGGGGGTGCTAATTAACCAAGCAGCAGCTGGAAGAGAGAGAGAGTAAAGTAGCTTTCAGTGGCATGCATGATTGTGTAGAGGGAAATCCAGCTCGCTCTGCCCACACCACAAACGAGCAGTTGCTATGCTATTAGGAGCAATTTGTGATACTTTTGATTGGTCATTGGCAGACAACATCTGCTGAAGCAGTAACAGTATTTAGAACAAGCTGGAAGAAGGTCTGAGTCAGACTCCGAAAGACATTCGTGTTCACAAAGAGATGAGGAGAAGAAGAGAGAGGTCTCCTTCTCTCTGTCTCTCTCTCTCTCTCTCTCTCTCTCTCTCTGTCTCTCTCTCAAAGCTCTATGTCTGTGATTTACAATAACCTTTGTCTAGCCTCATTGCATTACTCATTTAATGTTATTAAACATGTTTATGTTTCCTTAATCCTGTCCTTAGTTTGGCCATGCTTAACTCATTGAACCCAAGAAGCCTTCATTCAGCTTTAGCTTTCAACTTCCATTGATTTCAGGTATCATACACAGCTTGCAGTAAAAATCCAAGTCAATCTGAAAGTAAAAATTCTTTCAGAAGTACTTATCTTAATATCATAATACCACCAAAATCAGACCATGCTTCTCTCAATTTGCTGCTGAAACTCTTATTCATGTCTTCATCCCCACCTGGTCTATTGCAAATCTCTTCTTGCTGGCATTGCCTCTTCTTCTCTTTACAAACTCCAGAGAGTCCAGAGAGTGGTGCTGGTCTTCTCACTCATACCCGGTCACATACTCACATGACACTCATTCTCCAAAAACCTTCTGTGGCTTTCAAATCGGTCTTTAAAGCAGATCTATTTCCTCTCACCTACAATCTTCCTCAAACTTCTCCATTACATTCTCCCTATGTCCTCCTAGTGCTGTCTGTCTCTCTATCACTGTGTTTTCTCATTTGTTCTGTGCACTGCTGCAATTGTAAGTGGCTTTGGGTTCTTGAAAGGCACTTTGTAGGTATCATGTTTTAGTATTATTATTGTTGTTGTTGTAATCTTCACCCTGAGCAAAACATTCCAACGTCTGTCTTGCTGTCTGTCTGAGGTTTAGCATTCACTGATTTAAAAAGAGAGAAAATCAATAAAAAATGTATGCCTTGTGCTAATCAGAAGAACATACTATCAAAATTATTGTTTTTTCAGGTAACGGACAGTCTAGTCTAAGCTTACATGTAAAGTAATTACATATCTGAGCAGCCTGGGGCCTCCTGAAAATAACAACACATGGCATGTGTTGTTATTTAACACTATGTAAGTGTAATTGCAATATAAACACTATGTAAGTGTAATTGCAATTGATGAAAATACCAAGAAATTATGCAAAATTACCCAAAGGATATAAGAATTAACAGCATAGCATTAGACAAAGCAAAATGGCTAAATACTAATTAAGTAGAGTCACTAACAGTTTGTTTGAAGAACTAGTCTGAAACAGTGAAGAACCTGGGTATTGTTGCTGTTATAACAAAACACATTTTATTCAAGGTAATTTTGAAACATTTCCATTGGCCCATTCAATATTAGATGTTTAGACTATGTTTAGACTAAGGCAGCTGGTGTTTTTCAAAAATGGAGGAAGGGATGGATGGAAGCCAAAGGGGAAATCTGGGAGGAAATATGTGAGGAAATCTGGGAGGAAGGAGGTGGAAATCGGAGACATTTAAACACTAGTGCTGAACATTCTAAGGTCAGGCTGAGGTCGGTTTAGTTGAGCGTAAAGAATAGCATTCACAGCTATTTACAATCAGTGTTATTTTGAGCTGTAGTTTGAGGCTGAGTGCTGCAGTGAGAGACAGCTCTGTGGCTGAAGGTGCAGACTTCTTGATGAATCAAGTCAGTGAAGCCTGATGGAGTGCAAATATATAGAGAGAGTGAAGCCACATTAGAATCTAAGGTGAGGTTAGGCTGAGTTGTAGGGTAATATCAGGCTGAGTGCAGGACTGCAGGCTCTCAGTTTGCAGCCTGAGACTCTTTTCATTGCTCAGAAAGCGACAAGACAACGAGGGTGGTGAGGCTATATTCTGAGACAGGATCACCTTTAATAAAAATCTAGGTACATCAGGTTAACAGGGGTGCCCAGGTGTAAGCTCTGAGCAAAACAAATAAAGATGTAATCAATACATTTTTGCTGTAAAAAAGATCCAGGCTTATATGTGTGCGTGTGTCTATACGTGTGGGTGGGTGCATAAAAGTGGTCTACTGTGAAATAGACCATCCACTAGATAGATCTCTCCCTATCACATGACACTACTAAGCTGGGAGAACCTAGGTAAGCATGTGTTTCCTCCCAAACACTTAAATTACCACCACATCTTTAAAACTCTCACCAACACAGCATCATTGGACAGCTCTACATGTTTGGAGAGCATTACCTGACAGTTCTGCTACATCAGCCAATACATGCCCCCTCAGATACCAGCATCATGCTGAGTGATGGAGAAGGAAGTCCATCCTGACCACATAAAGAAAGCAAGACCAATTATACCATCCTGGTCTACTGGCCCTGGGTGGCTGTGGCATCAAACTGGGGATCGAACTTGCAATCTCCCAACAATAGGGCCGATGTTTTGACAGGCGCACCACTCAGAAACTGTTTTGTGTCCACTTTGGCATGAAAAATGTCATGTCTTATACACCCTCAACAGACTCAACCCACTCTGCTCCTGGACTGACTGAGTGCACTGTTATTTAAAAGTGCTTTATCTGCAGTCTGAGCCCTGTGCTGACTGACAATACTGACTGTAAGCTGAATTGTGGCAGATTTGGCTGAGTGCCAAGACCAGCGCTGATTTTTTAATTTGTGCTGTTGTGCCTCATGCAGGTGAGTGTAAGTATGACTTCCAGGCATGGGGTGAGTGTGATGTTGCCACAGGGATGAAGAACCGGACTGGTGTGCTGAAACGTGCCCTCATGGACGCTAACTGCCCCAACACAGTCAGTGCAACCAAACCCTGCGGCAAGACCAAGACCAAGCTACAGGGTAATGATAACTACACACACACACACACACACACATACACACACACACACACACAAACTCTTATTTCTTAAATAAGACCAATACCAAATTACATGAATTACCAAACCATTAAGTGTTATCATCACTGGTTAGAAGCAGCATCATTGAAAAAGCCAGAGACAACCCTTTTGTGTATTCAATTTCCAGTCAAAACAGCAATTAAGTACAAGTTATTCATTTTCAGGTGACTTGCTTTCACTTTTTTAAAATCTGCAGGGATATTTTTCCACACCTCCAAGTCTTAGTCCTAGTATCCAAGTTCAGTCTTGGTTGCACTTCCTGTTTCTCACAATCCAAGTAATTCCAAACATATTCAGTGGTGTTGAGGTCTGGACTCTGGGGTGGTCAGTCTATTGTTCTGAGAACACCAGCAGCTTCTTTGTTTGATTTGTCAGTGTTTTTTCCTTTTTAGCTTATTGTCTTTTCTCAGTAATGGCTTCTTGACAGCTACAAGTCCTTTCAGACCCATAGTGGAGTCTTTTTCAGATCTGAAGCAAGAGCGAAGCTTGATTTTCTCTTAAAGATGAAAGCTTTGCGTTCTGTTTATCCGATGGTGATAGGTTTGGTGATCCATCAGGTCTTGCATGGTTGGTAGGAGCACTTTCTCTATATCTTTGAATATTGCTTGAACTCACCTGTTTTTCCACTTATTTTCCTTTGAATTTTCCCTTCTTTATACAAGCGGACACCTTATATCTCATCTCCTCAGATATGTCTCCTGAAAATGAATAAGTTGTACTGAATGGCCATTTGAATGGACTTGAACTTTTGTGCAGTATTGTACATTTTTATAGCACCATATTGTTCAATTATTGAGAAACTGAATTAAGCTCGAGCGCTGTCCATAGTGCTGATCCCACACTGACTGACAGTCATCAGTGCTGTCCATGGTGCTGAAATGTCTTCAGAAAACTGCTGACCTAACTTTGCTGACAAAAAACAACCACAGATGCACGCCTGTTAACTGCCTATTGTCAATCAAAAATGTGTGTGTCTAGAGGACTGAGACATGGCGGAGCTAAGATTGAGAGAGAGAGAGAGAGAGAGAGAGAGAGAGAGAGAGAGAAAGAGAGAGAGAGAGAGAGAGAGAGAGAGAGAGAGAGAGTGGGAGGTAATTGCTTTTCGCTGGAGATTCTGCCATTTAAAGACTGGAGGGGTTATTTCTTTTAGCCTCTGCATCAGTAAGCAGTCCCTGACTTCTTTTGGAATGGAACACTTTAGACGGTACTGACATTTCTCTTTCTCCCTCTCTCTCTTTCTTTCTCTGTTTCTTTCTCTCTCTTTTATCACTCTCTGCCTCCATTCTCTATCATCCCCCTTAACACTCTCCCTCTGTGATTATTATAGTTATTTAGAGAGCTGAATTCCACAGCTCCTAAAGTACAGCAATTATCGGAGCAGCTTTGAGTGTTCAGTAAAGTTAAATCCTGTCAAATGAGTAAGTCCTGTGTGTGTGTGTTTGGGGTTTTCTCCAGGATCTTCTTTTACTGGATACTTGCTCACATAATAGAAGGTCTGATCTGTGCTGTATGCACAAACCTGCACACACATATAATCTATATATATTCAATTTGATGTGTTGGAAATAACACAGTTAAGGAGAACAACCTTGTGTTACTTTTAACATGTTTAATACAATATATACATTAAATGAGAGCTGCTGTTGCAAAGTTGCAGCAGTTTTCAAAGCACTTTTTGACTACATCTAATTCAGCAATCTTCCTGGTAAATATTAACCTCTTAACAAGCCAAGTTTTATTACACAGTTCTGTAACCTAAGAATAGGTCCATTAGTTTGCATTGAAGTCTGTGTAGTTACTGAATAATAAGACTTTGTATGAAATAAACATGGACTATTAAAGCTGTAATGTTTTTCATAACATGACATGTTCGTTCATAACATGTTTAGTGATAAAAACAAATACAACAAGCAAATAAAATATTTGAGCCAAACTGTGGACCTTAATGTTCACCACTTTTTTGCGTTATTTGCAAAACTGCATTTTTTTTCTCCATGTTAATCAATGGGCCCAGTTATGAATTATATCCACAGCATATAAAGTCATACTAAAGTTGAAAGTATCAAAGTATTGTACTGTTTAGATGTAAAATTGCATACATATACATCTAAGTGCATTATAGACTCTATGAAATTAAACTTTGTTAAAATCACAGAGAGAATTTTTTTTTAAAACCCATGATTGCAATTTTGCCAATTTTTCCCAAAATCTACCCCAAAATTTAAAACTAAAACATTATTTATTTATGAACTGTTCAAAAAGGGGGGAAAGAGGTGCAAGGATATAAAGTGTTTTGTTATTTTACCCCTTAAAATCCCAGGCTAATTCTATGGCTTATTATTCAGTAATAGAAGTTTGGACTGGCTGGTCATGGCGATATAGCACCTGTTTTGGGTGGTCCCTCAATTGACCTATATATATTTTTGCAATAATATTCACATGAAAATGTATATGATTTACAAACCCTACAAATGTCTTTGTAGGTGAGCAAGCAAACAACATTCATGAAAGTGTTTTTATTGTGTTTACATGCTATTTTTTATTGTGGCAGCTGTACATGATTATTAGATATGAGGAAAGCTGCAGATGTGCTGTCATTGTGGCTGTGTTTGTGACGAGGTGTGAATTGTCTTCACTCTCTTTGCAGCCTTATTGTTCACTAGCAGCTCAACGCAGAGTCACAACACTTCTCAAACAGTGAGCCAACAGTGCTCTAGGTAATCTGATAACAGAGTTATAGGAGAAAATAGCTCATTTGCTTTTGCCGATTAAAACATCAATGTTGATATTTCTATTCTGCCGGCAGAACGGCCAATCAAGGCCTTCCCGAAAAAGGTTTGAGATTTATCACAATCCCAATGCACACACACACACACAGCCTTCAGTACATGCAGATGCATACAGCCTTTAATACGTGCGGACACACACAGCCTTTGAGAGCGTATATGGGTTTAAAGAAAAAGAAGCAGAGAGATCGCAGCACGCAAGTCTTGGAAAAATATTTTGAATATGAGAGGCTTTATATATGCAGTTTATTGTATCATTTATACAGCGTTGCCTGAATGAGCAGAGACTTTCAAAAACAAATTAGAGCAATATGTTTATCCAAACAACATCACTAATTTACACACACTGCTACACAAGATATCAGTGTACACACAGACACAGACAGAGAGAGAAACATCGTTTACATGTAACATTTTTTATAGTCAAAGAAATACTTTATTTGTATTATCATCTGGTCTTTTGATCTTTATTTTTGGTTCTTTTTCCATTTCTAAATCTGTGTAAGAGTGTGTGTGAGACCAGTAACTCTCATCACTCTCAGTAAAATCTCATAACGCAGTTCCATATTGAATGAAAGCAAACAACCTCCTACATGCTGTCTGAGAATTTTATACAGCTTACCGTGTTAAAAATACCTCACTCAACACCTTATGTTTCATAATGATCAGGCCAGAAAAAACAGTTTTCATTTCTTTTGAAATGTTGGAAAGTGAGGGGATTTCATAACACAGTGTTATAAGACTCAAACAGTCTTTCAAATTCTTTAACTTCAGGATGAAGTTCATGAATGCTGTGTGTGTGTGTGTGTGTGTGTGTTGTGTGTGTGTATGCAGTGGGGAGTGTGGGGTTTATCTGACTTGTTTTTCCCAGGGTACTGAGGTTATAATAACAGTTTCCAGGCATGGCCTTTTCAGCATGCCAGCTGTGAGGGATGATGGGAAATTCTGATAGGGGTGGAAAATACACACACAGACAGCTCCATTTCATATTGTTATAGTTGAAAGAAATTTAACGCCTTACACTCTAGGTTTTTTATTCAGTCAATAATCTGAATAATAAGAAATATTCAGTACCTTCTATGGATTATTCAGTATGTACAATATCAATTATCCAGTAACCACTTTGGGTTATGAAGTAACTACTATGAATTGTCCAGTAACTGCTATTAATTATTCACTGAATTCTGAATTCTTCAGTAACTATACGAATGATCTAGTAACTACTATAAATGATCTACTATTCTGAATTATTCAGCAAGTACCATAAATCATTCAGTAACTACTATGAATTATCCAGTAACTATTATGAATCATCCTTTGACTACTACAGATTATTTAGCAGGGGCATCACTAGACCAGTTTGCCCCCCACCTCTCTAAATAAATGTACATTGCTAGTTCAAATCATTTATAATTTATTATCATTCATTCTTCATTATTTAACCGTTTTGTCACGTCTCCAATTTCATGATAAACTGTAATAGCAGGGTGCGAACTGAAGGAGTCGCTGCTGCTGCTTCACCACAGCGCTGCTTCTGCTGTTCTTCCAGAGATTTACTAATGTAAAGTGAAAAGTGGAACCCCCAGCTCGACCAATCATATCAGACCTCATAAGTTGTAAACCAATCACATCAGACTTGGGAAGCATCTCTGGTTTTATTCGCTCTGCAAAGTAAAATAAGTTGGCAACTACTGAAGCTGAAGTCAGAATTTTAGCTAAAAGCTCACTAAAATTAATATACCTTATTCCATATCTATAACATACTGAGAGAAGCAGTAAGTAGTTACAGAGTGATGAGACCCACCTACAATATGGATTTGAAGCAAATTATGATCAGTGTAGCCAGTTATCAGGTTTTTATTCATTTACTTGCTAGCTAGCTAACTAAGTTCATGTGAAGCAAAGAAAAGCAGTAAAGCTAACACTTACATTAGCCTGCTAGCAGACAAGCCACTAGTTTAAGAATTTGAAGAAAATTCAATTCATAGTGTGAGTGTGAGTGAGAGTTCATGAGCAGCTCTTTATACTCTTTGAGCATTTATAATTAAATATTAAATATTTATATTTGTGTTTATATTTCTCTTTAACATTTGGAGACACAGATATTAATATTTACCATATATAAGTTCATATAGTGTTGATCATAATGCATTTTTATATCTTCCAAATCCTCAACCTGTAGATGGAAATTAAGAGGTAGCAGCTCCTTCGGAGGCCAATCAGATGAGATTTCTACCAGTTAAAACAAATAAATAATTGATTCATCTCTCATTATTTCCATTTCCTTGTGACTCTGAGCTTAATAAAAATAATGTATTATTAAAAACAGAAAGAGAGGGAGAGAAAGAAGCTGAGGGAGACTGACAGGGCTGAGGGAACAGATCCAGTTGAGGTTAGTGATCAAAAAGAAAGCGAGGGAGAGCTGTATAAGCTTTTGGTTAAAATTCATGCTGAATTTCATTAAAATTAACTGAGAAAATATAATATTTGTTGATATGACCATTATATTTGAGCTTAAGCACACTCTTTCTGATTGCACCAACAGAGATTGAACTGATCTGTAATCTGTGAGCTTGATTAATACATTTAGGACCATGCAGCTTATCTAAGAAAAAGGAGATAGTATTGCTTGACTTTTGTACCTTTGCTTGACCTGTGCTGGTTGTAAGTGGATGGACAAAGTGTTTAAGTCATACTAACTCTGTCTTTAATACAAAGAGACAGATCTACTGTGTACCAATTTGACCAAATAGCCATTTTGAGATACATTTTCTAGCTGTTGCTACTCTAAAAGTTAATGATGAACAGACATTTTGGGGCTAAAAAAATTCTCATGACCCCAGACCACCCCTAGTAGAGGCTTAGCCCCCCCATCCATGAACCTCTATTGACACCCTTATTATTTAGTAACTACAATGAGACTAATATGTAAGCTATGTGGTTATGAGGATCCATATATGGACTCTATGAGCATGAGTGCGTGTGATTGTTTGTTTGTGCATGTGTATCTGTTCACCAAAGCATTCTTATGTCTCCTGATGACACACATCCCAATATATTGTGTGTTATACCTGTTAGGACGTTGACTTAACCCTAGATTTATAGGAATTTGAACAGTTTTATTTATTTATTTTCATTTGTGCCTTGAAAATGAAGAGATGCAGGACAAAGAGACTCACCCATCTTTTTGGGTCTTGCAGCTACATTGTTATGTGTACACATGCTGTAGACACAGACTGTAGGGTGTGTGTTGCTGTGGCTGTCTGTGTGGTGAGATAAGCAAGAGGCTTCTGGGAGACAGGGCAGTGATGTCATGGTGGAGTGAGCAGAGCTATGGTAAACAGGTAAACAAATACTCACACACACACTCACACACACACCCACACACACACACACACACACACACACACACACACTCACTCACTCACTCAGGGCTATCTCACCTGCCCTGCTCCCGTCCCGCTTCTCATAATGACTTCCATGTGGCTTGCTTCTCCTCGGGTAAGGCGGGCCGGAGGCAACGTTTGTCATGAGGTTCTTCAGCCGAAGAATGAGCAGACGGAGGAGTGTAGAGGTCTGAGTAGCCTGGAGGCCAGACAATATTCTCAGTAATACACGCAGTACAGAGATACGCAAATGAAACATTATGAGACACAGCCTCTGGCCCCTAGATCCCCAAAGCCTGCCCCAAGACTATCACCAGTGGGAGCTGCCAATATCATCTGGGTTCATATCATTTCAGAAACACTTTCTATAATAAAGAAAACCACTGGGAGCTGTCCAGCCCGTGATGGGGCATCTGAACAGACTGTCTGATGGTGGGTGTAAACGTGCATGCGTGTGTGTGTGTACCCTGCCCCATCCAGAGAACCGTGTAGTTCTGATAATGAATATATATTAAAGCAACCCAAACAGAAATGCTAAATGAAATGCCTCAGCAGCACTCTCACTCCCCACTGCTCCCCAGCAATTTGCTGACTGCAGAGCGGAGGAAACAGGCAAACTAATGAAAACAAGCACGCAAAGTGGGGGACAGGGCCATTACCCTCACCGGTGAGGAAAGTGTGTGTGTGCTGAGATAGGTTGTGTATTAGCTCTCTGTAGGGACCAGACATTGCCAGGATGATAGAAAAACATCAACATTTTTGATGTAGTGGGAACATCTGGCTGATTTCCATAAAGCTTTTTTAAAGAGCTGGGGGGGGAAAGAGTTAAAAGGTTAATGTCATATAACTGTAGCACGGTTTAGCTACAGCATTGCAGCAGTGATAGAAAACACCCCACAAAGACAGGAATACAAACTTTTGTATGTGTGTGAAAAAGGGGAGAGAGAGCTGCTTTGCATCTTCACTAAACATTTTACACATTTGCAAGTTTTCTGGACCTATATTTCTTTTTTAGAGAAAAAACTAACAGTAACTTTGGAACACAGCAGTTATGCAGCAGAAAGTGACCATCTTGCTCACTAGATAGCAGGGTCATCAGGTAAAGATGGACCTGACTAACGAGGGCCCTCCCTGAATGGAGAGCCATGGTTTCTAGTTTAGATTTTTTTGTTATTGTAGAAGTTCATAAACAAGCCTGTGTCTTCCATGATAAGTTCTGCATGATAAGTTCTGCTTTTCCACCTATTGTGTTCTTCTCTCTGCTGACTGAAAAGCAAAAGTGGTTTGATCCTAAAGTGCTATCATGTATAGAGAGCAGTTAGTGGCTATCTGCCAATTCTCACCTGGTTAAAATGAAACCAAAATCAGGATTTCAGAAAGAAAAGAAGTGAAGAGAGAGAGAGAGAGAGAGAGAGAGAGAGAGAGAGCGAGAGAGACAGAGAGAGAAATGTATTGTACTAACACAAGCTAGCTGGCTAACTAGTGATTAACTTCATTTGCAGCAAGTAAGCTTTTCTGCAGTTACAACCCAATGAAGTTCAGCTTCAGCCCAGCGGCTAACAGTTACAAAAGCAGCCACAGTCACTGAGGGAGAGAGAGCAGCATGAGACAAGGTGAGGTCACCGAAGCAGGTAGCTAATAGGTAACTTCCAAGCAACCATTTTTTGTAGCAGTTTCATTGAAAATTACAGTAAATATATTTAAATAAAATAACATTTAGATCAAATCCTTATTGAATTATAGCAAGGCTGATGATTCAGAGCACACTTAACCCATTTATTGTCAGATCTTTACCCTTTGGGGTCTGAAAGTATTTTCTTAAAAGCATTCTTTAAAGGCATTTACCATATACCCATAAGTTTTATATCAAAATACTGTTATCTTCATCACTACTTTCCAAAACTGCTGCAGCAACTTCAGCAGCTGTAAACTCTCTGCACACCATTTCACATGTGTCTCAGATAAAGACTGAATGACGAATGAAGGGTCTCCAGCGTGATGGGTAAGCCCTTAGTGATTTCCATTGGTCCAGTGTCCATCGGTCAGTTTTACACAAAATGTTAATGAATACATGAGTCCACCAATTACACATGGTGAGAGGCAGATGGCATGTATCTCCACCCCTCTTCACAGCCTTATAACTCCAGATGTGAGTCACATACAATTTCGCAATGTTATTCAATGGAATCGGAAGACTGTGCTGAAATATCATAAAGAAATATGTATAGAAACTTTAAATTTGATGGACGGATGCATTCATGGACACCAGAGAGTTAATGCTTAAATGCAGTCCAACCAAACTCATAGGTAAATACCACATAGGAAATACATTATATGATTTACCTTTGCTTTATTTCCGTGGGAGGGCAAAGTGGGGGGTGGTCTGGGCACAAATGTGGCTACACCCCTGCTAGATGCTGTTTATCTAGGCATAAACACATACACAAACAGATGCACAAAAACATACAAAGCTTTCCTGAGTCTGTGATTGGGACAAACAATGGTAAAAATCATTGACGAACCATGACTATTAGAGCTAGGCCTTCAGTTCAGGCCCTAAATGTCAAAAGTTGGTCAAAAATAAAAAAGACACCTCTATAGTTATGCTAATTTCTGCATGTGCTCCTATGGGATTCTAGTAGTGTGTTACATCTGACTGAAACACGTCGATCAAGCAAATGGTCATACTCACAGTCTGTGACATATCTAGGACTTCCAAAAGGCCTAGAATGACATTTTTTATGATGAATGGTCCCACTCACTGGAAATCGAACCAGTTGATTGGTTTAACATGCTGACTGAATTGTTTATTTTGACAAGAGCCTCAAAGTTTAAGGGGGGATCAGTTAAATAAGTCTGGAGATTAGTGACAAGTGGAAACTTGCAGAAGATCAGGTACAGGAAATGAGGAGAACAGGTGTTGATTAAACCTGACATTTACCACACAATATACTGCAAGTGCAACAGGTGCCAAATCCTCTTTTTTAATTAAACACTTTACCTCTCTCTCTCTCTCTCTCTCTCTCTCTCTCTTTCTCTCTCTCTCTTTATCACCTCCACACACCAGTAGACCTACCCCAAGCATCATTGAAAGGAAGCAGAGCCAGTTCTCTCGCTGCAATCCGCTGAGCCAAGGTGTAGAGAGATTACATTCTTTAAAGCGATCCAGCGCAGGGAGCCAGGGGCTAAGCACTGGGAACACACAGCAGCTTCATCCTTTCTGACCTGCTGCTGGCGATGTGCCAGCATCTCATTGTGTCCATATGTTTGTTGGTGACTGGTGCGGTGTTGTGTGTCCCTACAGACTCACGGAAGCCGAAGCGGGACGGGAAGAAGAAAGAGCAGGCCCCCTCGGAGTAGGGGTTCAGAGAAGAGAACACACTCTCCCTGAGCCCCACGAAACCCCCTGACCACCCGTATCTCTCAGCTCTCAGATGGAGAAGACAGTGGTGGTGACAGCTGCATGGAGGGAGAGTGAAGAAGAGAACATGTATCTTCCCATCTTCCCCTCATTTGTGTGTAGAACTGTAGGCGATTTGTAGCTCTTTTGTAGGTTCTGTGTTTAGAACTTTGAATAATAAATATATAATAATGCATACAAAAATGTACTAAATCCAGTACTAGCTTGTTTAGGCTGAGTCCAGTTAAATGCAACAAATACTGAACTGCCCCTTAACATCTGAACAGAAGTGACTTGTTAAAATATTAATGTTAAAATTGAACTGTGATGTAGTTGGTGACTGAGCAGTTCAGTGTGTAATTGTTCAGTAGAAGCTTTACCCAAAATAGATACACTGTACATTACATGTGGACACCCTTTATGGAAGATAGTGATGTTACTGCTCCCTGTTACTCAGCTCTGCAGGAAATAAATATGGGTTTGCAATCCAACATTCATTCAGCAGTTTTTGTTTCTTATACTATTGTATACTTTAGTGTAGAATAAGTTTTCGATGTTGTTCTTTAACTTGTCTGTACAATAGATGCATTTCCCAATCTCTGTCCTAAAGCTATCCTGATTCTGTGAATGGGGCTAACATTGGTAAAAATCAGTGGTGAGTCATGACTATTTGGCTATGTTCAGACTGCAGGCAAATCGGATTTGTTTCCCCAATCAGGTCTTTTCAGACGACTGTCCGCACTGTTATTTGCAAATGATAAGATTGGATTTGTGTGTCCAGACATCACCAGCCTACCTGCATGGGTTGCTGTGGTAACGATGTAGGCCTCAGTAACTACACTGCTAGAGGTAAAGGTACTGCAAAGGTACATTTTTCATTCATCAAGGTACAAACAATGTACATGTTGTAGTATTAAGGGCCAATTGTGTACCTTAAACAAGTTTTCCCAAGTAAAAGGTCTATATTTGTATCTTTAATGTTAAAACAGAACAATAAAATAAAAAGCCTGGAGGTGAGATGGGGCATGTGGAGTCAATACAACTTAGAAAATATAATTTCAATGGATTATGGTACAATTATGTTCCCTGACTAAAGGTACTGAGATGTACCCTTGAGGGTACCACCCCAGTGACAAGAGGGGTACTGCCCTGGTAACAGTTTCGTACCTTTTTTTCTGAGAGTGTACATAGCTATGCTGGTGAGACTGGCATAAGCATGAATCTTTGGTGCTCTTCTTGAATCTCAGCACTTCTGTCACTCTGGAAAATACCGTTGTTGTTTTGTAGCATTGTGAGTGTTGAAAAAGACGTTAAAAATTAACTGTTGTTCAAATCTGAACTGAATGGCCAGAGCATGCAGACTGAGATGCATCTGTAAAAACCTGATTGGAATCACATTTACAACGACTTCCAAATGTGGTTGGATCAGATTCACAAAAATCATATTCCATGTGGTTTTAAGCTTCCAGACTATTAAAAATCAGGCTGGATACAATATGCCCAAAATTGGATTTCAGCTGGCAGTCTGAACATAACCTTAGAGCTAGGCCTTCGGTTCAGGCCATAGATGTCAAAACACCTCAAAAACAACTCTATGAGAAGCTAATAGTAGTGCTAAACTACAGTTTTTGGCTGTTCTAGAGTAAACACAAACATTTGAGGCTTGTAAAAGCCTATGTTTTGTTTAAAAATTGTAACAGACATGCATGTATATTTCACTTCGCAACAGTTTTACAGTGACTCCTTCAATAAAGAGTCCTGGCAAAGAGCTACTACCGCTGCCTTCCATTTTTTAACAATTGACTTAAACAGTTTGGTCAGGCCACGTTAATACTTACAGTCATATATTCACTCATTGGCCACTTTTTTCTACTTTATAAGTACATTATTTAAGTTTACAATTACAGACTGTAGCCCATCTGCTGTCATGCACAGTTTATCTATCACCCTCTAACCCATAATTGGTCAGTTTCTGACCACAGTTGCACAGGTATTATTTGGGCCCTGGACAATTCCCAGCACAGCAGTGACACTGACATGGTAGCAGCATGGTAGTTTGTGCAGCTGGTAAAAGAGTTTTTACCAGGCATGAGTATTAATATTCAATACTTTTATGGTATTGATACTGCCAAGTATTGAAAAGTTCCATGTCATTCAATACCACATTTCAATACCTAAGCAGTCATTCCTAGGCATGCTTGTTCTAAACTCTAGACTGCTGGTTGGCTGTCTAAATTACATTGTGCATGCACATATTATCAAGCATGGATCATCCGATGGGTTCTTTGGGCCCAGTGTCCAGTGGCCTGAGCCTCTAGAGGGCCCTCATAAGCTATTATGACAAAACTTTGTTTTGACTTGCTGTGGGCAGAACTGCAAAAACTAATTTCAACCTTATCACTGGTCATAATCCTAACAATCTTTACAACATTATGAAATGTATGATTAATTTCTCCTCCAATCACTGCTATCATTGCAATCATTGCATTCCATCTCATTACCTCAGTCAAGCGCTCACGTTTGCTTTTTAACATTAAGCTAGCATTCCTGTGTATGTACTTTTAATTTGAAGCACAGATATACAAAAGACATGCTTGGTTGATCTGTGAAAGTGAGATCTGATACTCTGATAAAGTATAGGATGCCCAAGGCAAACACAAATAAGAATGTCAGTTGCAGAAAAAATGCTGCATCATTATTTATTGTGGTCTGTGAACTGTTTACTTTAAAGGTAAGATATAAATGAAAAAAAAAAATCAAAAAAACTCATCCGCTGTGGCAGCATGCTTTAGCCCAAGATGGATTGATGGGTTCAGGTTTTTCAGTTTGCCAGTATTTGTTATGTACATCTCAGCTGTCAGATTTTAATTTATATCATCTTTATTGGGATAAATGCTGTACTTGTCAGGAGCAGAGTCTTGCCAAGTAAGTGTTGCATTGGTTGTTGGGTTTAAGTCAACATAATTTTAGCAGTAGGCTATAACCTCACATCATGCCATAGTGGGACACTGTGTATTTGGAAAATGAATTGTTTGTCAACTTGCTGTTGTCCTTTATGCAACACATTAACCTTCCTTCTAAACTGTAACAAGTACAACATCTGCCAGTATTTTTTTTTTTTCATGAGTCAGTGTTACTACTAGTATGACAGTAGTCTGCCACCCAAAAATATCCATCCAAAAGCAGCTCTTGTGGTCAGAATCTGACCAGTGATGATGGGCTAGAGCATCGCTAGCACAATACATTAATAGATGAGCTACAGTCTTTGTATGCCAGCAAGGTGGAGCTACAAGGGAGGGGTTTCTAATAAAGTGGCCAGTGAGTGTATAAAGCCACATGCTACAAGTTTACTAACTACTAAGTAAATAAATAAATAAATAAATAAATAAAGAACAATGTATTTTACTCAGTCTTATATCTTTATTGATAGAATTCTTCTCCAAAAGAATATGGCACAATATATATTGTGAATGTATTTTATTATTATGGTTTCATTAGTGATTTGTGAACATCCAGATTTCTCCTCCAATCATTTCTCTCAAAGAAATCGGTACCATTAGAAGTGTACAAACCGGAGGTCAGCTAGTAAGGGAAGGGAAGGGGGAGGGGTGTGGATCAAGAGAGGAAGGAAGGAGGGGTGGAAAGGTAACATTCAGATGAATAATAAACACATGTATTTACACAGCAACAGTGCCAAATCACATAGAATGTTCATGTTATATTACAATGGGAACTTTGAGCAGTTAACAGATTACTTCTACTAGATGTAAAGTCACAACCCACAGTGAAGGGAAAGCACGATGAGGATCTACACATCTCAGAAACCGAAGATAAAGAGTTAAATATGTACATCAGACACAGGAAGTGTTTTTTTTCCAGGTCTGTTTCTATCTGCTCCAACTTCCCGAGTCAAAGCTCATTCTGTTCATACGGTCTAGAGCAAGCACACTGTGTCTTTTGATTTTTGGTTCATTCCAAAGAGGAGTTGCCTTGGAGTCATGCTTCCTCTGGTGTGTGTCTCACTCACAGGCAAACCTGCCATTACTCTGCGGAAACACTCCAGAGAAACACCTCAGCTGGTTTCATTGGGTCCAGCTCAGGCATACGAGCACATTTTTAAGTGAGCGACTGCACTCTCCCAGGCACCAGACGGTGCTCAGCTAAGCACTCCGTCAAAAGAAAAAGAAGGGGAAAAAAAAACACAAAACATGAACTGAAGTCTGTTTTTTATGTTAGCATGCCCAGACAAGTTCTATTAGCACTTGGCTCTACTGAGCTTCTGCACCTAACAATTAGAAACTTTCACTAACTTTGTCATGTTCTGTCATCCTTCGCCTCTCTCTCTCTCTCTCTCTTTCTCTTTCTCTTTCTCTCTCTCTCTCTCTCTCTCTCTTTCTCTTTCTCTCTCTCTCTCTTTCTCTTTCTCTCTCTCCCTCTCTCTCTCTCTTTCACTCTCTTTCTCACTTGGTAATTGAAAGCTCAGCTTGTCTGTGGAGGACTCTTGATTTAACGTCCAATTATCCCTTGTTTCCACTGACAGATGCTCCAGCTCCAGAATCAATACTTGAGAGTCATCTCCTCAGCCTAACAACAGCTCGCACTTTATGTACAATGCATCTATACTGCATTGAGTGCACATTTATAAAACCTCATACAAAAAGATGTTTTTAAGTACATACAATACAGTATGCTCCTGTGATGTTACTTTTCCATTTTGTTTGTTTGCTTGCTTGTTTGTTTGTTGACAGGTTGGCTTGTCCCTGGCAGTTAAGTATGTGTCTTTGGCAGCCGTCGTTTTTTTTTTCTTCTCTGAAATTGCCGGTGCGTGTATGTGATATGTTCTCACTCTGCTGCTTAACAGCAGAGTATTTCACATTGTGTAACACCCATGTTAACCACATGCCAAGGTTATTTTATAGTTTTGATATACACACAGTTCTCAATTGAATCTCAGTTTAACTCAAACCCCATCACCCCCCTTACACACAGCAACAGTGCACAAATGACCAACACATAAAGACTTATATACACACTTCATACACTCTCACACACATCCTTATATACACACACACACACACACACCACAAATCTCATTTTTGTGAAATGCTATACTGAAGGCAGCCTCAGGTCTCCAGAGATGACCCGTCCACATATATACAGAGATAGCACTGCATTGACAGACCCATTAAGACCTCGCATTACGTTGCATTGCTACTGCAGCTCCACTGGACAGACTCTTGACACCCCGCGTAAGTGAAATGTTCAGTTTAAAGGATCCTGTGCTTTTCCGTCAACTCACAGTCATACACAACATAATCACACCGTCGTCGCAAAAAAAGAAAAAAAGAAGAAGAAAGGCATATTAATCAAAATAAATATATTAATAAATAATCAAAAGTTTAAATAATTCATCTTTGAATTCTGTAAGGCACTTCATGTCGTTCTGAAAAAGTAACTGTGTGGAATTATCCAGGCAGCACAAGGGGAGGTTGACTATGTAATTATCAGCCTCATCACTCCAGCCTCAGCCTTCATACATTCTGCTGCAGGAGCAGCCAGTGCTGCCCTGTCCACACACAAAATAACAGATTTTTAAATCTAACTGTATATATAGAATAAAAATTATATTCCATATTCACACAATAATACTAGAATAATCATATACATTCTTTAAAACACAGGTGCCGAAAACGGTTCTTGGGAGCAATATTAATGAAGAACCAGCTTGTGTTACCTGAAGAACATTGCACTAAATGGTTATTTAAAAGTATATGTCAGTATTTGTCAACATAATCTCTATCGGCCATATCATTTAGCCAGTGGAGAACCCTTAGGACCTTCTAGGCCTTATTCAATTCAGATTTGTATTTATTTATTTATTTTGTGTCTAGGTGCATACAGGCTAACTAGGTATATACAAGCTAGCTCTCTTGTTGATTAGGACTTCAGGAGCTGGACAGAAGGCCTGATGTGTCAGATTAATCATTATCATAGTAAGTGACAGCGGAATGAAGCAATCACGTTTTGATTTCCAATGGAGCCAAGTCCTATTTCAAATTAATTATGGTGATCACCCTTTAGCTTAGCGCTAATATACCAGTAGAATCTCATAGGGACTATTAGTGTCATTATATTGGGTTCATTTTTTGTTCATGTTTTTGGTCAAGTTTTGACATTTACTGAAGACCTAGCAATTAGGCTAAGAACAGGAAACCATTTGACTCAAAACCATCTGGGAGGTCCTGAGGACCAGTTCGAGAATGTCTGCTTTAGAAAAACATTATTGTAAATGAAATATATGAGTGTGAAGAATGTTTTAAAATGTTTTAAACAACCCCCACATAATGTACAGGTTCTCAGAAGATCCCTTAAATTGGTATAGAATTTTTATATTATGTAAAGTTACTTTGAAGCTTTAAAAATTCCTCAGACTTACAAAACTACTTTTTAAACATGGTTCTTAATGGATTCTCAAAGTGGTTCTTCTATAGCATCACCAATACCCTATAAAATGTGATCCAATATTTTAAATTAAAAAGTATGTGACCTAGTTACCTTAAACTTTTGGGTTCATTGAACTTCTAATTGTAAGTTAACAGAAGAACAATCTAGTTTTACATTCTGTTAAATCAAAATTTTGAGGCAACCAAGGTACTAACTTTTTTAAGTTGAAACAGGTGTGGAACCCTTTCTGGCACCTTTTTTTAATGTATATAAATAAAAGTAATAAATTGTGTAGAATAGATCTTAAATTAGATCTTAGCCCTTTGATATTTCTGTTGTGCTATATGTCTATACAACTTGGAGACAGCATGTTGTTACGATAAAAACCGAGACAGGATGAGTGATGAATTCTTCTCCAGCTCACTCCACTGCTGCATGCTAACACCCATATGCGCTCACTCACTTCCTGTACACTTTGCACCAGTCTCCCAGTGGCGTATCTGAGACAGAAAGCTGGCGCTGCCGTGACCCTAAACATCTCTGCTGCTTTTAAACAGGTGTCACCCAGAGAGGCTGAATGACACTCTCTTTTTTTCACTCGCTCTCCCTCTCTGAGTGGGGTCTTATCAGGCAAGAACAGTACACACAGCTCAAAGCAAAGAGCTGGCGAGGTCCTGCAGATGACTGCCAGCCATCGCACAGCTCGACCCACCTGGCCAAGCGCATCTTATCACTTACACTCGTGTGCCATCGCGCACTGTTCTGTCATACTCCACTCTGCGCTATCATGTACTGCTCTCCAGTTTATCTCCGTCAAAAAGGTCAGAGTGAATGTGATACATGAATGTTGCACCATTTAAGGATGTGTTCACACATTCAGGGCCACACAGGTCATGCTGCAGTGATGGAGACTGAACGGCAAGTGGAAAACTGACCCGTGTGCCATGTTGAACACTCACTGCAACACTCCTGCTATCTCTGCGCTAGAGATTAGCGTCTATCGGACTAGTCCTTCACACTGCGTTAACGACACGGCTGCGATGACTGCTCTTGCTGCTCTTCGAGGTGAGCAGGTGGGCTGCGACTCTCCCAACATCAGGAGAGAGAGGTGGACGTGGAGGGGGGTGGGGTGGGGAGTGCGACAGGTGACATGCAGACACATATCCACTTATCAGCCTGACGGATGGGAAAGCTCTGGACCTGGCATGCTGCCGGGACTGGCCTGTCTGTCTCACATTACAGAGACGGCTCCATAGAGGCAAGCCCTCAAACCTCTTCCATCATGCTGTCAGAGCGGTGAAGCCATGAGGCTGAAATGGGAAAGCACAATAATGCCTTTAAGGGAACTTCTTTCCATTAGAACATGGATGTGGACCATAGGGGTGGCAAAAATATCACACGTGATACATCTTACAATATGTTTGGGGTTTGATACATTGGAACAGACACAATGCAGAGAAATGCTATGAAAAACTATACGTTCAATGATTTGTTCTTAATCAACATTTGAGATATTGCCAATATTGCTAACACCAATCAAGCAGGACCAATTGTGGTTTCTTGGACTCAACAATATGTAGAAATAAATATATATTAAACGTAGTTAATATTGATTGTATACATTATTTCCACATTACATTGTAAAAAGATTCAGTGTTAATTTAAAGAGTGAGTAACCTGGTTGCTTTAAATATTAACAGAACAACATGTGTTTTACATTCTATGAATGCATTGTTTGTTCGGTGAGCTTTAAATTTAAAGGCAACCAGGTGTGCTACTTTTTAAGTGAAAACATTGAATCAGTGTAAAAAGGTATATTCCATCAACACAGTTATTGCCAACGAAAAGACAATATTATGTTTTCTGGATTATACTTTACAGTTATACGCAACAGTTTTGGCACCCCTGGTCAAATGACATTTTGTTATTTTTCTAAGTGAAAATAAGTTAACACATGATCTACAAAGATCACACTCATTTTAATGCACAAGTACTGTTAATTTGCAAAATTTTACTTTTTGGGGACATACAATGTGGTCTGTACAAAAGTTAACATTTTATATTTCATATTTCATTTTATTTTTTTCCAATATGTTAAAGTCAGCAAGTAAATAGAAATTGTGCACTAAAATTTTCAGAGAAGTGCCATATGTAAGTTTGCTCCCTGTAGAGGATGTGCCAACTTATATATTCTTAGAAAATTATGAGAACAAAACGCCCACCACTGTGTTCATGTGGAAATGATGTACACATTTGAATGAAGAAAATTCAGTGCATCACTTTTTAAAATGTAGGGTGAAACCTTAGACAGCTGCATCCATTGGGAGCCTCATCTAAATGTCTTTTTAATGAAATATGAAGTCTTCTGGAAGCACTGATGATACCCATGTTATGCTCGGAAAAGCTTTTTGTGATGTAATTTGTTGTGATAATGATATCTTATTGTCATATCGCACAGCCATATCTACCTACCAGACCTACCAGAGCTCTCAACCAGGTCCAGATGTCTTTAAAACACAAACAGTATGTTTTGAAAAGTGTTCAGACACCCTCCATAATATGTGGATTTACCCATCTGTTGTTGACACAGGTGTTAAATTGCATGCACACAGCCATGTAATCTCTAAAGAAAAGCTTTGGAAATAGAATAGGATGCTCTGGAACAGGTGCACACCAGCCTAATATCTCCATACATTATGCCAAGGGTCAACTAGAGGGGCCTTAGCTCCTCATCATTTCACCGGGGAGCAGTAGAATTGTGTTCTCTGGAGAGATGAAGCCTCATGAAATACCTTTGGGATGAAGTGCAGCACCGTTGCAAGCCAGACTTAATTGGCTAACACCAGTACTGACCTCAGTAATGCTTTTGCGGCTGAAAGATTTCAAATCCCTACAACACAGCTCCAACATCTAGAGTCTTCCAGAAAAGAAGGGGAACAATTTTTCTACTAATATCCTCAATTTCATAAGTAATATTGGATAAGCAGCCATCTGGTTGCTTTTTGACATGCAGTGCCCTTTCAAGAAACGGCCTTTACACTCAGGACTGAGTCTGAGCATCTGCAAAAGACTACAAAGACTCTAGAGAGAATTAAATTACCATGTGGCTGTGAAAGAGATGGAAAAAAGCAATTTGCAGAAAGGTGACAAACTGATAATGAAACATGAAGAAAGATAATTGTACGGCTAAAAGATAGAAAGAGAACCTGGGGGATGGAGAGGGAAAAGGAAGGTTCTAAGAGGGGACTGCAAAGAGTGTGAGAGTGAGATAGAGGATGTATATGAGAGAGGGAAAAGGGAAATGCTAATATAAATAGCAGAAGCCCTGTAAGCATTCCTTGCTTGCTTAAACAATGTCTCGCTTTTACGTGGATTCATGGCTGAGGAGATTAAAGCGTGTGGGACACTAAGTGGAGCAGGCAACCACTGAGCCTGCCGAGCGTGTAATGTGTAATCTTCAATCTTGCACAGTGTTCAGCATCATCAGCTAATCTGATCCATCTTACCGTGAGATTCCGTTATTACTCAGACCCACATTGCTCTGATTATGGCAATGGCTCCTCTTGTTCCAAACACTGCAGCCAAAATCCTGCACTCTAACCAAAAAACTACTCTCTTAAACACAAAAGTTCTTGTCTTGGACACACACTGTTCTAGGTAGGTATAGAATCTTTACATTATGTTTGGGTACTTTCAACTTTTAAAAGGTTCTTCATGTTCACATCGAATTTCCATTAAAAGGTTCTTTATGGAGCCAAAGGTGGATCTTCTATGATATCACTCCAAAGAACCCTATTTTTAAAGATTGTACTCACCCTTGACTTCAACCAATACTATTCCATCAAACCTTTTCTTCTATGCAATAATGTTTACTCTACCCAACGCCACACTTGACTAACCCTTCAGCCTACCCAACACCAATGTTGACTTACCCTTCAGTCTACTCAACACCACCGTAGACTAACCCTTCAGCCTACCCAACACCACTGTTGACTTACCCTTCAGTCTACTCAACACCACTGTAGACTAACCCTTCACTCTATCCAACACCACAGAATCAAAGCTTTTCCCCTACCCAACACCACTGAGTCAAACTCTTTGCTCTACCCAACACCACTGCTGAGTAACTGCTCAGCCTACCCAACAATACTATGGATTAAACCTTGAGTCTACTCAACACCACTGAGTCAAACCCTTCTCTCTACCCAACACTGCTGACTCAAACCTTTTACTCTACCCAACGCCACTGTGTCAAACCCTTCACTCTACCCAACACCAATGAGTCAAAACCTTCTCTCTACCCAACACAACTGAGTCAACGAGCCATTAAGTTTTGAGAAGGTACGCAGTCAGTTGTTTGTCTTAAAGACAAGCAAACAAATGTCAGTGGTCTGCTACCACAGGGACCTTTCTATTATCTTTTAAATTGGAAGACAGCGAGTTTGTGTACAGTTGGTTGGCTGACACCAAACATGATTCATTTACTAAATGATGCTGAAAGGTTTTATTCCACTAAATCGGCATCAGTAGGATGGAAAATGAGCTTGATGTTTATCACTGCTCTCACTGCGTCGCAGTCTATGTAGTATAGTTGCACTTTGTACTATCTGCTATGTGATGCCATACGATGCTATGCAATGCTGCAGTCAAACCTTCACTGCACTCAAACCCCCAATGCTCTTTGCTTTACCTAACATTAACAACCATAAAAGAAACAGACAGAAGGAATTACAGGTGAACAAGCAAATACTTGAGCACATATTTGAGAGGATGTTACTTCATGTCGCTATTGTGACTTCTACTTCAAATATGCTGTGCTTAAGGAGAATGAGAGATGAGTGTTTTCTCCAAAGACTACGTCGTGAGCCACAAAAGCGTGTGCAGCTTTATGATGAAATGTTTGAAATATCTAGCCCTTTTATTTCACAAGGCCAAGGCCTGTGATTTAGAATAACCCCCATTCCGGGGTGATCATACACACACAAAAAGACAAATACACACACACACATAACCACTTGTCTCATACTATAGCAGTCAAGAGCGGAATTCCATTTCCCTCTGTGGATCAAATACCTCAGAGCAAGATACAATAAGTCTGAACTGCCACATAGCAGAAGGATCAAGTGATGCAACTGGAGCCAACATGCGCACTACCTCTGTTCATACATATGCATACACTTACACACTCAATCATTCATACACTGTCCGATGTTTAGTATGCCCTTATACCCAGGTCTTGGACTCGTGCCTATTGTTACACTCAGGGGAAAAGCACAGGATCCCTCCAGAATGGTACTGCAAGTCTGGCAGTGTGCCTTAGCCACCTGCAGCTCTCATGAATCAAACCCCTGCTGCATGCATGCTAGCATTAGCGCTCATTTACATGTTTGCAAATACGATGAGAAAGCCGAGTTGTGAAGTAGCGTCCATGGTAAAGGTCTCCACAAGACAAGAGTTAGGTTATTGATTTACTGCAACTGAGGCTGCATTAGCGCCACATTAGACAGACAATTCATTGTTTTGAGTCATTTTGTTGTTGTGGCACCATTTGACACTGCGTCATAAAATTGCATGCGATGTGTTATGAAAAACCCAAGTGTAAAATCCCAAGCCCATAATAATGGCTCTGTATAAAAGAGTCTCTTCACCCCGCTCCTCCATCATCATTTTAAAAGCTTTTAATTTGCATCTCTGGAGGCCTGAGCACTCAAAGCTCTTACATGTGGATATGGCAAAGTGGCTCTCCAGTAGCTCTCTCAGGTCTGAGCCAGTACAGCAACACACACACACACACACACACACACACACACACACACACACACACACACACACACACACAGAGCCTGTGGCCAGCCATACATCTTCCTGCAATTATTACCATAAAACACCTATATTCAATGTATGCAGTAGATTAACTTTAGTACACTCTCACTCTTGTTCTCTTTCTCACACTGCCTCTGTAAAACACACACAAACACACATACACACGGCATGCATTCTTTGTGTTTACCAACCACACACATACACATTTCACCCTGATTCCTAACACCACCCCATACACACAACATATGCTGTACATGATTATATACAAATATGTACAATATTATTTTATACTGAAGTCCAAACACTAGGTTTGAGTGTTCAGTCAGCCCTATTGTCCCTTTAATCAGTGTAGAATTGAACAATGCAGATTCTAATCTTAATACTGCACTCTCAACTTAAATCTGTATTTAGGTACTGTACTTTGAATAATTAGGTTAAACACTGAATTTCCACTCCAAACTGTGACTCACTGGCATACAGTGCTGTGCCAAAGTCAGAAACCACTAAGTCATTATTTTTTTCAGCTTCAGAACAAACATGAAACATATATTTAACAGAAAATTACATAAAAGCTAAATATAAAACTAAATATAATCTATGTCCGCCCTTTGCCCTTTCTTTACAGCTTCAGTTGTTTCAGCAGAACTGAAAAGTGTTTTTGAAGAAATCTGCAGGGTTATTTCTCCACACCTCTGAAGTTCAGTCTTAGAAGTTGGTTGCATTTTCTGCTTCTCACAATTCAAGTAATCCAAATACATATTTAGACTCTCAGATGTCCTATTTCAGTGTTTTACTGCAAATTTTCTTCCTTTTCTCAGTGACAGCTATTTAACAGCCACACATACTTTCAGACTCACAGTGCTAAATTGTTCTATTTTTTTCAGATCTGAAGGAAGAGTGGAGTGTGATTTTCTCCTCTCTCTCAAAGATGAAAGCTTTGAGTGCTGTTTATCTGATGGTGACAGTTTTGGTGGTCTACCAGTGCTTGCACGGTTGTTAGTCCCATTTTGTCTGTAACTTTTAATATTTTTTTTAACTCTAATTTTGGAAACTCCTGTTTTTTTTCCTTTGACTCTCCCCAAATGGATTGTCTTATTTCTAATCTCCTCAGAAATATTTCACATGATGAAGAAATTTCTAAGGCAGCTAAGGTGTGTTTGGGTAGGTACTTGTGTGAATATTAGTGTCCGCTCTAAGGAGAACATTAGTCACTGCTTTGGGAACAGCATTTGTTGGTTATATCTCGGTTTTAAGATTGGAAGGATGAAAGAGCTAAAAGTAAAGAGTGAACAAATAGAATACTGATAGATTTGATATTATACTTATACTTATACTTGGAGGCTTTATGAAACTGTTAAATATTTGCTTCCTGCTTTATTCTGATGCTGAAAAATGAATAACTCATACTTAATGGTTGTTTTGACTGGACATTAATTAAACGAAATAGTGTCTCTGACTTTTGCACAGTACTGTATTTTATACTAATATTTATGACCCTTGTATATTATAGATTCATAAAGCACTATTTTCTGTGTAGTAATATCTATATTTTTGTTTACTTTTTTTAATCTCAGCAATACCTCTCCAGGTCTGTATGCAAAGCCTGCAGTAATATTCTCTTCTCTGAGTTGCAATCGCTTCTGTGTAAAGTGCTACAACAGGTTAGTAATAACAGAAATACACAATACAGAAAGACATAAAACAGCAATGCACCCATCTGCCACACTTGCACTTGCAGTCATTGCACAGATACTTTTCACTCATACGTGCCCACAGGTTCACATATACGCACTCATTCAAGCACGCGCGTAGAGCTCATCTGGCTGAACGGATATTTTTATACTGACAGAGCAGAAGCTGTTTGAAGGTCTTTTTGAATGTGGCGTTGCAGAGAGCGTAGCATGCAGGGTTGATGGTGCTGTTGATGTAGCAGAGCCAGTATCCGATGGTCCACACTGTGTTGGGGATGCAGCTTGAGCAGAATGTATTGATGAGGACCATTACATTGTAGGGTGTCCACGTGGCAACGAAGGCGACCAGGATGGCCATGATGGTGCGGGTCACCTTTTTCTCCCTGGAAGGAGCTGCTTTTTTCTTCTTAGGTGGTTGCTTGGTCATCTTCACAATCTTCCGCGTCACATGGTTCTGCTTCTCTGTTGCTGGCACGATCTCCACAGTGGTGTTGGTGGGGGTGTAGCAATCTCCCTTGGGTGACTTGGTGACGATTTTAATGCAGGTGAGCTTGGAGCCCCCAGCTTTGGTGCAGTGCCGTGCGGGCTGTTGACTGTCATTGGCTCTGGAAGGCATCACCTCCTCTTCCTTCTGATTGGCTGCAGCCCCACTGCCAGAAGTGGAGTCATTGGAGCTTTCTTTCTCCTCCACTGGGACACAGTTGTTCCTCGCTCCGTTCTCCCCTTCCCTGCTGGCTGTGGATGGCCCTTTGCCATTCTGCAGTTTGCTGTCGTGCTGGTTGGTCACCTCATCTGTGGTCTGGGTCTGACCCCTATCAGGGTCCTCCACCATCAGGTTGTTGTTTTCAGGCTTGCTGACCGCATTGCTGCGGGTCTGGCTGGGCGAAGCCACTCCGAGGTTGGCCCCTGAAGGCTTGCGGTTGTCTTTCTTGACGCGGCTCTTGCTTGCCCGGGAGATCTGCCAGTACAGCACCATCATAATGATGACAGGCAAGTAAAAGGCAGCAATGGCTGTGCCAAAGGTGACAGCAGCGTTGGAGAAGAACTGAATATAGCACTCTTTCTCTGGTACTGTGCGGCCACCCACAATGAACTGCCAAAAGAGGATGGCAGGAGCCCACAGGATGAACGACAGTACCCAGGCAGCAGCGATCATCATCCCTGCCATCTTGGTCGTCCTCTTGACAGGGTAGCTCAGTGGCTTAGTGACGCAGAAATAGCGATCAAAACTGATAATCAGCAAGTTCATGACGGAGGCATTGCTAACCACGTAGTCCAGTGCCAACCACAAGTCACACACCACAGGGCCCAGTGGCCAATAACCAATCACAATATAAACAGTATAGAGGTTCATGGAGCACAGACCAATGATGAGGTCAGCACACGCCAGGCTGAACAGGAAGTAGTTGTTAACAGTCTGCAGGCTTCTGTTGACCTTAATGGAGAGCATGACCAGGATGTTACCGATGACAGTGACCAGGCTAAGCGAGCCTGCTACCAGCACAATGAATACAACCTCCACTGTCTTATACGGGCTCGTCTCTTCCACTGTTTCCGTCTCATTGCCCTCAGAGGCGTTCCAGAATGTTAAGTTTATTCCATCCATCTGTCCCTGCCTCAGGTGTAGCTCTATAGTCCACAAGAAGCAGTGCTCACAAGTCTTCACACCTACACATGAAAGATGGAGAGAGAGGAAAAAACACTTTAATGCTTTCACTTTCTGAATAATGTGGGAACATATTATACAACAGGGCATACCCCACATTCCTTGAGAAATTCTTGATGAAAAGAAATAAATTTAGCCCAGTTAGGTAGGGTGGTTATCAGAATGGAAGTTCAAGAGGGTTTTTTGTTTTACCTGTGAATGGGAATGCTTATAGGGTTACATGTGGACCATTATGTGTCAATCATAAGTTGGTAGAGAACTAATCAAAGGAGTTCTAAGTGTAAGTGGTGGCAGTGAAACAACAAGTTATCACGACCTCAGGGTTTGCAGACCAAAGCAAGCAGTGAGTAATGTAATGAAAGTGTGTATAGCGTGGGCTACTTCAAATTACACAGAGCCAGTTGTTGGCTTGAGAACAATCCATCTCAGTCTGTTAGTGTTGGATACGTTGTCTGACAAACTTCAAGACAATGAACAGATCTGTGGTCACCTTGTTTCCATCTCTTGTTGCCACCATAAGCAGTGGATCAGCTTTATGATTCTTATCAAGAAAGTGTCTCAGTAACAAATGGATCTGCTAATGGCATCAAGGATATTCTAAGGGTTATACACTCTTTGCAGAATGCCACAGAAGAACCATTATTTGGTTCTTTAAAGAACCTTTCAGTGAATGGTTCTTGGGAGAAGTGTTTTTGTGCCAATGTGAAGAACCTTTTTGAAGTTGCACAGATCCCTTAGTCAAACATAGTTCTTTAGCGAAGCAAAAGGGTTCTTCTTTGCAGAAACCTTTGTAGCACCATTTCGAAAAGATTGTAGCTACACTGATACAATTATATTATTCAGTATATATAGGAGAACTTTTTCCTTTAGCAAATAATGTAGGTCTCAATTGGGTCCAACCCTTCTATCCCTGATGCTTAGGAATCGGCTATGACACTGTTTTAAACTCTAGTACTGGAGGCCCTACAATGAGCAGCTTCATGTCTTTCTCACATTTAAGTCAATTAAGTCCTTCATGAGTGAAATCAGGTGTCTGGCTGTTTACCTCACAAGCTTCATTGCTCAATTGCAATTTTTTGCTCAGATCTGATCTTTCTAACTTGATGATTCATATTCATGTAAATAACTCAAATTTGTCATTTATTTAAAGGAACCTGTGTTTTGAAATGACCTGTATGCACACATTCTAATCAGTAACATGACATGAATGAACCACATGCGTCATGAACCACAAACTAACCAGCAGAACAAGCCTTCCTCCTTCCTCATATGCTTTGAAAAGCTCTCAGCTGTTCATCATTAGATCAAGACAAAGGTGAAAAAGGGGTCAGATTCTTTGCTTTTGCAGGGTTTAGTGGTACTTCATGTTTGGCACTGGAAATAAAAAAACACAAATTCCGATCTGAGCTTCTCATTAAGGTTGCATGGCCACAAATTTGTTATGTATCCTATCTATGCCCACATATGAAAGTGGCTCAGATGTGTCACAGGAAGGCAAAACAATTGTGCCACTTCATGTGAATGTAGCCTTAGAGCAAGGAAAACACTGTGAAAGCAGTTTTGATTTTGGTGTATAGATTGATTTTGGCATTTGGTTGGCACATCTGTCAGCAAGAAGTCCTGCCTAAATGTCATGACTGTTTAGTAGGCATGTCTCTAAAAGGCCCCTAGCAAGTGGTATTAGCTAGCTGGCTAAGCAGTCACTACGAAGCAAAGACACCTCTTCTTGTAAATGTCTTAACACCAGTGGCTGTTAAAAGAGTGATTTTAGTCTTTTTTGAGAAATGCCAGAACCATTCGATCCACTGAGATTCCGTGCCCTTGTTTAAGGTTTCCAAATGAGACATATTTGATGTGTTACCATCAAGTTTTGTTAATAGTTTGATACTAGGCACGGTCCACTCTGTGATTGTGTGTTGAATTTCTGCATAACATAAATCCCTGTTCAGATCTGTTGGTCCATGCATCACAAAATGTTCATACAATCTAAAGGGCAGCCAGCATTTTCACATTGTCTTAAAAATAATAAATGTAAAAAATGGAGATTTTTATTCTTATGGAATAAAAGATTCCTTTTCTGTAATGTTCCAGACATCATTGAAGCCTAGTAACTTGATGGATGATCCAGAAAGTTTGAATGAGATGAAGATTTAACAAAGTCACTCTCTAACTAAAAGGTTCTATATAGGTTTGAACAGAAAGGCTAAGGCTTGTGTGCTACATTATGCCATTCGTTCGCTATGTAATTTATTTTAGGTCCTGTAGATTCTAGATGAGTGAGATTATTATTGCACAGCATTCACCCACATCAGTCCTTAAAACCATCCCAGCCTTGTTTTACACGCAGCTAAAATGAGGATTTTTTTTTTCAATATTTTATTTAACACATTTATCAACTGGATGAAATTAATTGAAACAGAAACTTTAAGCAGTGTTTAAACTTGGAAGGATTTTTTTACTTTCAACATTTGCTTTAAAGTTGACACCATGGCTTGCCTTTGATCTATCAAGCTCTTCAAATTCCTGCAAAGCCTTTTAATTTCAGTAGCTGTGTGTGTGTGTGTGTGTGTGTGTGTGTGTGTGTGTGTGTGTGTGTGTAATATGTCTCATAAAAATATAAAGGACATTTTTATGCATAGGTAATTACATATGTACCACATATAGACCACCCTTCATGTATATGGGAAACTCTAAAGCACATTACCACATGAATGTCACATTAACATATTAAACTCTTAGCTTCGAACCACCTCCACTCAGCCTGCCACCTCAACTGTTTTATTGTGTCACTTTTATTATGTTTTATTTATTTTATTAAACATGTTGCTCCTTAGCTAGTGTACATTACTATTTTACATATTCTATTTCTTAATTTATTTCATTACCTATGTTTTTAATCATTTTATCCCTATTTGATTTGTTATTTTTTAAGTTATTATATTGTTGCAGTTTTAATGTTTTATTGAATTTTTTTGTCTTACTATTAAATTGACTATTAAATTGATTCCATCCCTGATTTCTCTATTGGCTCAGCTATATTGTAAAAGAGGGCATCCCTCAATGTGCTATGGGTTTAAATAAAGGTTGATTGATTGATTGATTGATATTTAATTTTCATGTCTAAATGGTCATTAAATACAAGTTATTTCTGAATTTTTCAGCAGATATTTTTGATGAGATTATATATAAATAATCAGCTTGCATAAGGAAGGGGAAAGTCAAAGGAAAAGGTGAAAAAACAGGAGTTTCCAATATTGGAGTTCAAGAAATGATTAAGATATGCAGAGAAAAGGGGCTCCTAATCTGTGAATATTTTTTTAAAAATGAATTGTTTACTGTGTGAATGTATATGGGGGAAAATGGACAGCTTTTTATCATTTGCTTATTTGTAACACTGTGTTAAACTAGCTCCATCATGTGCAGGCTGTTCCTTAGCAAAGCTAGCTCTTGCTATAAGCTGTATGCCTCAAAATCACATCTATCGAAAGGGTGATTAAAATAATTTATAAAATGGATTGTTCCATTTCTAAAATCTGATTGGCTGAGCTGCGTTCATAGTCGCTGTAAAATACTGGATATACGCACAATTACAGCCCCCTCACAACAACTGAATTGTCTATTACTGCGCCAAGTCACTTAAATCCTATGTGTTGTGAAGGAAAAAATCTTAATGTAATGCTGCTGACATGGACCATCAAGTGTACTTATGAAGTAAGAACGCAGTGGGCTGACAACTTATTTTCTTAACTAGAACTAGACTGATCAGCTAGCTAAAAGGCTAAACATGTCCTCCATTATTTTCACAGGCTTTGAATTAAAATACTCACTACATGATTCACTGTAAAACTGCAAGACTGAGGAATATCACTTGAAAGTCTTACATGCTTCAAGCATCTGTCTTTTAGTCAGATCTGCGTTAAGTAGCATCAAACCCTGCTGAATCTGATGCAAAGTGTTTAAGATCCTTATATGAGTCAGGAAACATCTCATTTTGTCATGAATCACCTACAAATAGCATTAACGGTGCTTGTGTTTGTGTACATATCCCCTTTATTTTGCAAGAGTAGCCATCATTTTTTTAGTCATGGGCCATTATTATTGAATAAATGCAGGTAAAACGTGCAGTTTTACAAACAGCGAAGCCCCTATCTCTAGAAAATGATCTATCCATTATTTGTTTTTCTCTTAACTTATTTATATACAAGAGAAACAAAGAAAGAGTGACAGCGTAATGGCACTCAAGGCACTTGGCATATCCCTTCAGGAAATATTAGCTTATTATATAGATGTTGAGCCAGACACTGAAATGAGCTGAGGGAGCAGAGCCACATGTCCAGCAGCTACATCACCACTAAATGACTTCTACTGTCCCTCGGAGAGTAACACATGCAAACACCACTCCAGTCTTGGAGAAGTGCAGGAAAAAGAGAAAGCATGGGAGAATGAGGCAGAGAGAGAGAGAGAGGTTCATTTCAGGTGAATAATGTAAGAGAGTCTAGACAGCCTGAACAGGTGGACCTGCTGAAAAGAGCAGAGAATGAGAGAAAGTCTCAAGGCTTTGAACAGTGGTGTGACAGGAGTATAGCTGTGAATGAGTTAGGAGTGTACATTTCTTCATTATGTTTGATTACGATTCCCTGGGAAACTATTTTATGTAAGGAGAAATCTCAAATTTCCCCACGATTCAAACTGATCATAGTTATGTGGGAATTTATTCAATGTCCTGCAGTTTCAGCCTCAGACGCCCCGTCCACAGAGGTCTCACGATGAGTCTTTTGGCGCAAAATATATTCTCTGAATGGAAAAAGTCAGTCAATGAGCATCCTGACTCTGTAGGTTTACAGATTTAAATATTTATTTACACTATAAGGGCCAAAGTATTTGGAAATACTGACCATCATGGTTATATGAGTTAGTTGGATAGCCCATTCCAAAATCAGTGGCCTTAATATTGGGGTGGCCCTATGCTCTGAGGCTACAATAACTCTTCTCTGAAGCTTTC